ATCCCACCTATCAGGATGTGAATAAAAATAAAAAACCCAGAATGATGTTGCTAAGATAAAAGGATTGGTGGTAAGCACTGAATCTATTTGAATACAGAAGTGAGACTAAACAACTAGAGTAAATATGGTTGCCAAAAGCTGTTAAACCCTGACAAAATAGAAATAATATAAGCCACAAAAATTGGATGTTGGTGTACAGAGGGTGGGAGGAAGTATAATAATGTTAATTATTTCATTTTCTGAGCAAGTATTGACACTATTAATCAAGAAATATGGGCTATGCTGATTTCTTCTTGTTTATATATTTTCTTTGCCCATATTTTTGGGCTATTTCTCATATCTTTGCTGCCATGCCCCTTTATATCTTTTTTAAAAACCAATGTGCATTGAATATTAATCTACATAAACTGAATACTTAATAAATGTTGCTGAAGTAATTTTGCAGACTGCATGGGACTGTAAATTCTATGAGGATGGAGAATATGTTTTATTCATCTTTGAATTCTCTCAGTAGCTGGCATAGGGACTTGCATATTGTAGATCACTAGTAAATTATTTTGAATAAATGAATTAATTTGCTTTGTTTCATATACATTTTGTTGCTAGAACAATGGCTGGCTGGAAATATAAGGAAAATGAACCATAATTGGAGAATATGATAAAGCCTGTCACCCACATCTGAGAGACCTATTATAAACGCTTCTGATGCCTCATTAAAGACATTCTATTGTTTTCAGAATGCATTTTCCCCCCAGTAAATAATCTCCGTTTGCTCTAATTTAATCATTCATACAGCTATAGGAATGATCATTTCCAAACACAGATCTGATCCTGTCACTTCTCTCCTTAAAAACCTCCCATGCTCCCCTACTGTCTGAAAAACAGAATCCAAATTCCTAAGCATGGCATTGAAGGTCCTATATGATCTGGCTTCAGTCCATCTCTTTCCAGCCAATTCACCTCACATGTTGTCCATCCAGGGGTACTTGCAATTTTGGGAACATGCTATACACATTTGTGCTTCTATATCTTTGCTCATGCTGTTTCCTCTACTTAAAATGTCACTTCTCATCGCATATCCTTCTCTTCTCCTCCTGTCTGCAGCCATCATGACACTACTCCATTCCTTAGGACCCAACTCCATTGCTTTCTCTTTTAGGCTTTGCTGTCTCCCACGCGTAAATAATTGTACCATTTGTTGTTCTTCCGCAGTAATTCGTTCATGCTCCATGTATCATATTATACTTAATTGTACATATATTGAACACACTCTCCTAGATTGTGAACTTCTTGGTTTGTACATTTCCTTTTCCCATGTTCTTTGGTCTGTGTCTTATGTATTCTAGAAAACTGTCACGGAGTATGTGCCTGACACATAGTAAATGCTAGATAAATGTTTGTAGTTTGGAATTTAAAAACCACATGCATTTCTTATATTTCCATATAAAGATAATTCTTTTAAGTAATGAGGGCTAAACTGAAAATCCTAAGGGTTGGTAGAAGGTAGAAAATCTGTCTCTTAAACTGTGGTTTTCTGTCCTGATAAAAGAGAAGCCTTCAGAGGTAGACTGCTCTGGGAAAACTCTGTGAATTGTTTAGTTCCTCAAATTAAAGCAAGTATACATGTATTACTCTTGGAAAACTATAAAGTAACCATTAAACTGAATGTAGATGCTTTAGGCTGAGAAGCAGTGCTCCATTTGGATACGTAAATCTTTGTGTGTAGAGCAGGAGCATGGCTTCCCCAGACATTGTTGCAGAAGAGAAGAGAACTGTTTCTTTCTGTTGATTTAGACCATGTATGTGTCAATATATTGTTGTTTCTGTAGAGATGTGGATATCCTTGTTTGAGCCCATGCCCTTAGAAGAACAGATGCTGAGATCTAAAGGATATAGGAAAGCAAAGACAGGCATGATCCTTACTGTTTCCTGGAGAAACAATTACGCAAAGGTACTGAACTGGCTTTGGTGAGGCTCTACCTGTAAAGACTGAGGACCTACATGTAAAGACTGAATAACTTAGTCTTTGTGAGAAATGTGCTGCTGCTGGACTGTTATGTTCTAAGGTGATAACCCAGTTGGGTCAGAGATCAAGGTCACACCCCTGGGGATGTAGGGTGGGGTTTCCTCTGAAGGAGTAGATATTCCCATGGTTAGTCATCCTAGGGAGAAGTTGCACCTGGGACAGAAAATGGGAGTTTGAAAGTGGACCTTTAACTGGGTGAGGAGAGTTGTTTTCTTCTCTGAGCTTTACAGTGGTTGGGCCCGTATGCTCAAGACATGGTTGGGGGAACTCTTGATTGAGAGGGGAGATGTATGGACCCAGACATACGGACCCAGGCTGGAAACTCAACAGTAAGGCAGGCCTGATCTAGTCCATAAGGGCTCTGAGAGTAGCCATGTCATTCTTATGTTTGTGATGTCCTGGGGAAGAGAGGGCACTGCCCCTTCCTGCCAAATCCCAAGGCAATGCTGAAGATTGCATTGGCTGGAGAGAGCTCAGTGTTCCAGAACATCAGGGTATGGGACATCTGAAGCAGGGGCAGAAATAGTTCAGTTATTTCAGGAATATGTGGGTGACAGCACCTCTCCTGGGGACTCCTCCATAGTAGAGAAGGGAGGGGAACTCTAAAGGGGGCTGGCTGACATCCTGATAATTTGGAAGGTGGGAACTCAGAAGTATTGTAGTTGGGGTTTTTTTGGGGGGGGATTTTATTTTAAATATGACCTCCTTTATAGTCAAAAACTTGAACGCTATGACACTCTGATTCTCAAGGACATATGAGGCCTTTTATTGAACAAATCCTTTCCATCTTGGGCATCCTGTTCAATAGACTTGAGAAAACCAAAGGTAAACAAAGTATTCCTCCATTTGATTTTATATGAAACCTCTCTTTTTAGTTCCCCTTAGGCCTCTGTTCTCAAGTCTTATTGTAGAGGCATACAAGAAACCAGAAACTGATAGATTCTTGCTTTTCTTCCATTATTTGTCCATCCTCTGTTTTCTTTACAAAGTGTTCTGTTTCAGAGAGTAAGGGAGAGTTTTAAGTTTTTTCTGGATATTATGCATAAGCATGGATGAGTATCTGACTGGTCTTTCAATGAGGAGAACATCTAAGCTGACATGATTTTCTTAGGCTGAGCAGGAATGTTACTTGATGCATAGGCATAGCAGCCACAATCTTATCCCTGTTGATTGTATTTGTGGTCATACTTTGAAAAAAGGCTGCATTCAGTTCTGTAGAGCTTTTCTGGATTCATGGTGCTTTGTCTTTTTATTCTGACAGCTGATTATTTGCATAACTTGGTAAAGAGGCCTCCCTACCATCACATTACTGGCTTTCCTCTAGCTTTTTGGATATTTTTTCTTGCTCTCTTAGATTTTACATCAAATACCAACTTTTCCTTCAACAAAAGTTCTGCCTGTCTGAAATCTTTCATCATCTTCTTCCAACTACACAACAAAGCTGAACTCTGTAGAATATCACTTTGACACATTAATAATCGCACTTGTCTCTAAGACCTTCCTGAAATTCTCTTAGTTTCTTCTCTTGGGGTTTAGATGCTGTATAGTATCTATCAATTCCATTTACTTCATTTAAAAAACATTTATTGAGTATTATGTTGCAGGCACCAGGCTACCTGCTGGAGCTATGAAATAGAGGAGCTCACATCTGGTTTTATGGCTAGAATACTTGGCTCACTGCTTCTAGTTTCTAAACTAACTCATCCAGGATTGCATTGAGAAGAAGAACCTCCTCTTATGGCTCCTGAATGCCATAGGGGAGAATGTAACTAATGAGGAGAGCAATCCAGGTTACTGAGGTGATAAGCAATCCAAGATACAAAGGGGGGCAGGGTGGGTCACATGCAAAAAAAAAAAAGGATAAATTCTGGAGTCCAAAGACACTAGGGAAGAAGCATACTTTAATGGTTGGGCTTTTTTCTCAGTTAACATTGGGTTTTATTTTTGTTATGTTATACCTACAACCAACAGTGTAAATGAAAATAACAGGAAATTATGTGTATTTCATTATTTTCAATTAATATATTTATTACAGCATTAACGTTGTTGATTTGATCCTTTTGTAACATTTCCTTCCATCAAAATTTTTTGAGGGAGAATACTGTCTCTTAGTGAAATTTTTATAAAGAACATGAGGTCTTTAGATATGAGGTCAGAGAAGGCAGGAGACAATTTTTTTTCTTTGTGATGTATACCTCCTTACATACTCTGGCGTTTTGTTGAGGAAGTATGAAGACACGATAATTCTAGTTTTAAAGGTGTAAGGAAAGGGTTGATCCTTTCCTCTGTATTATACCGGCGGAAGGAGCACGTCTCAGTCTCTTCCTTTTGTCTTCTGAAAATAAAAGGAAGGAGGCAAAGGGTGTTTGAGTGGAGGGTTTTTAGGGGTTAAACCCTGGTGCTTCAGACCCTCTGCGAACCCGGCAGGTTTTCCTTAAGTAGCTCCTGTAAAACAGATGTTCTCCAAAATAAGAGGGGTGGAGCAGAGGAGACCGTCGGGCTGCCTTGCGATACAGCGCAGGTGGGGGTAGCCGCCTGGTCCAGAGCCGAAGGTGCTTGCATTCTGCAGGTGCAGGGATTGTGAGCTCTCACCGCTCCGGCTCCCGAAAGGCGAGAACCGAGGCGTTGCAGAGTGTGGGACTTGGCCCCTGAAGCAGAGGCCAAATGTATTCCAAACAGCTGACAATGATCGAGCCGGGTGTCCACACCTGGTCCGGGGGCGGGGAAGTAGCATCTACAGGAACCGCAGGGAGAAAAGGAGCCCCTGGTTTGGGACGCCAGAGGGCTGGTCCGGCTTGCCTAGGTCCGACTGCTTTCCCGTGATTGCTTCCCCAGCTTGTCCATCATCGCAGTGCCCTATTTCTACTGGCTCTACTGTCTGCCACTCGGTTCCGCCGCGCTGACCCCCATTGGGCCCCTCCGGCCGAGGCCCCGCCCCACGAGCAGGACACGGGCAGTAGGGCGCGGAGGAAAGAGAGCCGGGCGCTTGTTCTGGGCTGTGGGGAGGCGGTGGCGGAGAAGGAGGAGGAGAAGGAGGAGGAGCTGGGTCAGCAGGAGGCAGCGGCGGCGTCCGCGCTGGGGTGATGGTGCAGGTGCTTGGGGCCGGTGCGGAGCTGCCTGGCTGAGGGGCGCCTGGTCCGGGGTCCGCAGCGCCGCCGCGTCTCTCCCGGGGGCGGGAGGGCGGGAAGATGCTGAGCAGGTTGATGAGCGGCAGCAGCAGGAGCCTGGAGCGCGAGTACAGCTGCACCGTGCGGCTGCTGGACGACAGCGAGTACACCTGCACCATCCAGGTCAGTGACGCGCCGCCCCGCCCGCGGGACCCCCTCGTCTCCCGAGTCTGGCCAACTTGGCCCGCGCGTCGCTCCAGACCCCAGCGCTTTGTCCACCCCTGGCTGCGGCGGACGGCCCCGGTGCAGGGCGCCTCTGCCTGAGCCCCAGTCCGGGGCTGGGCACTCGGAGCTCGGCGCTGCTGAGAGGCGAGTCCTCGCGTTCTGAACCCCCACCTCGCCCCCTGCCCTCTCCCGAGGTGAGGACGCTCTATCCTGGCTCCTCGAACCCGCCGGTGTGGGGAGCACCTTCCTCGGGCGTCGGGAGGGAGGCTCTTTCCCCGGCCGCCCCGTCGGGGGGCGCAGGTTTTGACTCTCCGGCCCGGCAAGGACGGCTGGAGGCTTTTCTTACATCTCTTTGGCTGGAACGATAATGGTGTGTGTCATAATTTGCCCCCCGCCCCCCCCCGCCCAGCATTTGTGAGTCAGAGCTCTCAGAAGGTAGAATTGAACGCGTAGCCCATGCAGAGTGGCCTATTGAAGGGGATACCAGCCCTCCGGGCTTTAAAGACTTAGGCCCCCCTCTGGCCTTTCTCTCCCCAAATCTTATTCAGTTGGGCAATTCTGGGGGGCGTGAGGTAAAGATTTAGCAACAAGTCCCAGCGATTTGAGGGTTGGCGTTGGTGAGAATCGGTGACTTACAAAAAAACGCCAACAATACGATAAGGCTGCACAGCATTTCTTCAGAACCTGGTATTTTTGAAGGGATTTTTACAACCTCTCGCTGCGTGGCACGTCAGGAGTAGTAGTCTTTCCCAGGAATGCAGTCACAGCCCTCTTCCTCCTTTATAAAGTGAGAGATAGAAAACATTAACAATGCTCCGGTGTTTAGTTCACCAGCCAGGAGGATCCTGCGCTCACTGCCGAAAACTGCCCTTTCTGGAGAAGCAAATTGAGCTGGACCCAGAGGGTCTCACCTCATCCCTTGCCTTTGCAGCAAAAAACCCGAAAGGGCTTCTCACCTCAGATGTGGCAGACAAAAACTGACGGCCGGGGTCCTACTCTCTTTGTCTCTTTCCCCGCCCCCCTCCCCCATTAATTTTTTTCGCTGACAATGCTCAATAGCGGAAAATAGCGGTGGGTGAGAAAGACGCTGGATAGTATATGAGAGCAGCTGCTCTCTGCTGACTCTGTGCTCAGGTCAGCCTTCTCTCCACTTTCCTTATTCTCCCACCTCCAAAACCAACTCTGGGCATGAGTGCTGACTGCTGCCAAAGATCTATGAGGGTAGAGAAAGAGAACAAAATCTCTTTTTCAGGCCACTTAAATACAGATTAAGCAGTCATAAAGATGCTAGCCATCAAGTGAAAGGATTTTTGTAGTTGAATATGATATAGAGATGTTGTGTATTATTTCCTTACTGAATGAGTGTCATGCTACTTTTTGTTTCTATTGTATCTTTATGTGTCATGTACAGTTTTTTGTTTTTTTTTTTGGTGGGGGGCTTAGAGGAAACATGGATTGAATGGACATCCTTACCATTTGAATACATTGTGCAGAGCTTTTAAAGTCTTTATTCTTTGTTTTAAAATTTAAAGCATTTACACAATAGCATATCAAGGGCAGTGTGAGATTTAGACTTCATGAGTCCTAAAAATACTTTTGAGATATATGGTGAAATAAAATTTCTGGGACAGATCATTAACTTTTGCCAAGATATAAAGTACAAATGAAACACAATTCATGTCACCTGTCCATTTAGTGATAACCTTGTGGTTTTCAGGTATCACAGAAAGGCAACTAGTTATTTTTCCCAGATAGTGGAAAACCCAGTTGGCTCATTGGTATTATACTTGTGGGTGGTATTTATTACTGTTGCGAAAAATATTTTTAAGTTGAGGATGACTTATTGGATTTATGCTTGCTATATGCTACTATGGTTGTATTTATTTTCCTGCTGGTCTTATTTTACATTATTACAATTTAATATGTTATAAAAATGTAGGCCACTTAAAAAAATTAAGCTTGGTGTAATATGACCATACTGTAGTAAGTGTTCACTATCTAGATATGTTAATGATTGTGCATTGTGATTCTTGCATGAAATTTAAAAAACACAGGAATTCTAAAGTATATGTAATATTGTCATTCTTTGGCACTACTATTGTGAATTGCTTTTGTTTTTACCCGTGTGAGGAAATGTGGAAAATAAGACAATATTTTATGTGAAATTAATATTTTGTGCATACACCTTTTTTGAGCATTAGAGATTGAGCTTTTCTTAGCAACTTTTCCCACTTGTATATTTCTAGTGTGTGTGTGTGTGTGTGTGTGTGTGTTGGGGGGGTGGAGAGAGAGAGAGAGAGCGCGAGAGCGAGCACATATGCGCTTATTTGTCAGACACTGGGCACAGGGTCTTTACTGGGTTAAAGCAGTATTTACAACATTTAGGAATTGCAGTACTGTATATTAAAAAAAATTGGTGATAATTTGACCTCCTTTTCCGAAAAGTATTGTATGGCATATTTTTCTTTAAATAAGGTATTTATTTTAGAAAAATTTCAGTGCCTCTTGAGATCATCAGAGACCACTTAGGGTATTACAGAATCAGAAATGTATCACTGGGTTAGAGTCATAATAGCTACATTTGGTAAATTTCAGTTGTAGGAAATTCTATCAAAGTGTTGGTCTAGCCTTTCATATTGCAGCAGTTATACTGATCTGGCATTTAGGATGTGATTATTAAGGTAATGAAAATGCCTTATATCTTCTCAATGAAGGTTGCCACAGTTACCAGACTATTCTTTTATTCTTTCTGATATGCGAATGTAGTTGTAGACCATGAGAAATGAAAGTATACATAGGAGGGTTGTAGTATAATTGCTCCCCTGTGAAGAACATTGTTAACAGCTCCCTGCCAGTTTTGAAGGTCATTGCCTCATAAATGCAGATCTGGTCCATATTTTTCACACATCTGTTTCATTTAAGCACATATTTATTTACTTACCACATTTACTATCTTACTTTGTTATTTTATTTGGGAGAAAATAGGAAAAACGAAAAGGCTACCTACTATCTTTGAACTCTCCGAATGGAGTCATTTAGGTGCTTAGGCATGTAATATCTAAAGAATAGATTTTTAACTATCTTTCAGGTTATAACAGCTTATAAAATATTAAGAATATATTGCAGAAATGCCAGTAGAAATATGTATTGAAAAATATATATTGCCAAGTCAGAATATTAATCACTTTTTTTTGGTTATTGCTGAAAAGTAAAGCTACCCTAGAAATGAATTTGATTTTACTGGGAACACATTAAAATAACAACTGATTAAGCAGCTAGGTTAGATTAGTTTTTGCAGTTAAATAAGGTGCAACCATAAATGAAATGTGTGTGCAGAGGCACTTCTAAGTGGAACCAAGATGTGGATTTGATTGTGGCTCAGCCATTTAGTAACTGTGGGACATGGAGTAAGGGAGAGAATATTGAGGGAGAGAACAAATGTATTGATCCTTGCACCTGCCAGGCACTTTGCCTGTATTATTATCTCATTTACCTCACATCAGTGTTACGGATTGATTTTATACCCATCGTACCAGCTAAAGAAAATGGGATCGTGGATTGGTGGGAGAGCCTATATTTGTTGAATGGCTAACTATGTACTAGGCTTTGTGCTAGGTGCTTTGCTTATACCTTACATCAGCCGTTGAGAGGTAGGTGGTATTATCCTCATTTTACAGATGAAAGATAGTCCCAGATGACGGAACTTGCTCAAAGCTAGTAGGTGGCTGTACTGTATTTAAACCCCAGCCCTTTTGTCTCTAAATCCCATCGTTATTCCCTCTATCCATTCTGACTCCTTAAGTTACTTCACCTGTCTGTACCTTAATGTCCTCGTCTATAAAATGGAAATTTAATACTTATTTCTCAGTAAAGAGAAAGTTATTTGGAGATATCACTACAAATAATAAGGAACATTTAAATAGACAAATATACTGTACTTATATTGTGCCTTATTCTATTCAGTTCAGAAATAGAATTGAGAAATGTTTTACTTTTTTAGAAAAATAATTGAACTTAAGCTGTAAGTCCCCGTAAAATGATTTCTGATTAATTTCAGTAAAATTGTGAAATCCAAGACTGGCATAACTGAAATCTTTATTAGAACTCTTCTTTAAAACAAGAGTTCAGGTTTGCTTTCCTTCTATTCTACCAAGTCTTAGGCTTTAGAGAGGCATTTATTGCTTGGACCGTGATTTGTCTTTTCTAAGAACTTCTGCTTCTTGGTAAGTGGAATCCTTGGTTTCATTAATGCAAAAAGGATGTTCTTAGAGAATTAGGATAATTTTATTCACAGAGAAAAACACAAGGCTGTTGTATTTTCATGAATATTGGTTTTTAAAAACTTTATTTTAAAAAGTAATTATGCTGTCTCAGGATCTCTGTTACAATAGCAAGTCAGTTAGAATCTAATTCTTAAAACTAAGTTCCAAAATTAGCCTTCTAGGATCCTAAAAGCACTTGTATTCTGTTTCTTAATTTGTATATTAAAACATTTATTGTATAAAACTAATGCAAATTAGTCTTTTCAGTACAGAAGGTAAATTCTAGATGTGTATTTATGCTTTCATTCTTTTTGTTTTTGAAGAAGTTCTGTTTAAGAAGTGTCATTGGCATCCAAGAGAAACGTAGACGCAATCACTACAACAGATTTTACTCAAGGGTATTTGTATGAATTTGCATTCTGTTAAGTGCTTGGAATGAATATGCTAGATGAGGCAATTCAACATAGTGTACAGAGCATGTGATTTTGAGTCCTCTGTTTATACATTGTCCAGAGACTCGTGTATCATGTCTGTGATATTAATATCATATTTAAAAAAGGAAATGTTTGCCAAAATAAAATCAGACAACCTGAAGGCAATAAACATTTTTCATATGTTTGTAGTGGTTTATGTGTAATTCTTAAAATGTGTAATCCAAAATAAGTAGCAAGGCATTAGCTTTAGAGGCAATTTACC